AAGGCAGTAGGAGTATACTTAAGAGGGAAACCAGGAAGGCAAGTAGGGGACATGAGATAGCTTTGGCAAATAGGGTTAAGGAGAATCCAAAGGGATTCTCCAAATACGTTTACAACAAAAAGGTAACTGGGGAGTGAATAGGGCCCCTTAAAGATTACCTACATGTGGAACCGTAGGAGATGGGGAGATACTAAATGAGCATTTTGCATCAGTGTTTACTGTGGAGAAGAATATGGAAGATAGAGAAGGTGGGGAAATAAATAGCGACATCTTGAAAAATGTCTATATTACAGAGGAGGAGGCGCTGGACGTCTTTAAATGCATAAAGGTAGATAAATCCCTGGCAAATGATCAGGCATGCCCTAAAACACTGTGGGAAGCTATGAAAGTGATTGCTGGGCCCTTTGCTGAGATATTTGTATCATCGATAGCCGCAGGTGAGGTGCTGGAAGACTGGAGGTTGACTAATGTGGTGCCACTATTTAAGAAAGGTGATAAGGAAAAGCCAGGCTGCTGAGCCTGACATCAGTGTTGTGCATGTTGTGGAGGGAATCCTGCGAGACAGAATTTACATGTATTTGGAAAGGCAAGGACTGATTAGAGATATTCAACACGGCTTTGTGCTTGGGAAATCGCGTCTCACTAATTTGATTTTTGAAGAAGTAATGAGGAGGATTGGTGAGGGCAGAATGGCGGACATGATCTATATGGACTTCAGTAAGGTGTTCAACAAGGTTCCTCATGGCAGACTGGTTAGCAAGGTTAGAGCACATGGAATACAGGGAGAACTAGCTATTTGGATACAGAACTGACTTGAAGGTAGAAGACAGAGGGTGGTGGTGGAGGGTTGCTTTCCAGACTGGAGCCCTGTGACCAGCGGTGTGCCACAAGGATCAGTGCTAGGTCCACTGCTTTTTGTCATTAATATAAATGATTTGGATGTGAACATAAGAAGTATGGTTAGTAAGTTTGTCGATGACACCAAAGTTGGAGGTGTAGTGGACAGCGAAGAAGGTTACCTCAGAGCACGATG